GACTGTGTATTTGGGTCTGAGGATCACCTGCTCCCATGAATACCCAGGGTACCCATGGGAGCAAGTGATCTTCAGACCCAAATAGTTTCCAATTTTCAGTTTAGGGGAAAAGAATAAGAAAGACTTTTAGAAGTTCATGTATCCCAAAGTTTAGTTCTTCATTTCTTCAACACAGGGCATCTCCCTACCTCTCCTTCCCTCTCTCTAATACACACACACACACACACACACACACACACACACACACACACAAATAGCCCACCCTCTCAAATATCCAAAGGTAGGCACACACACAAATATACAAGCTACAACGAACTTCACAAATACACAAACTATGCATGATGGGAAAATCCATTGTGCCCACATAAAGAAAAAAGTGACATGTCTTCAAGGACACCTCACTACTCACAAACATGTTTATTACCACATCTGGCCCATGAGAGGATGGACACTAATGCAAGGAAAACACAAGCGTCAAAGCACTTTCTAATGTTGGCTGTGGTTCTCAGCCGCCCTCCCCAGGCTTCTTCAAGGTTCTGACGATTAAACGGTTGGTAGCCAACTTTGTACACACGCCTGTAAACAAGAGGGCTCAGCTTTAAATAATTATGTCAAAGAAATGACAACTGTGCTCTTTGCCAGAACAGGGATGAATAATTACAAAGCCAGGACATAATTAAGCAATTCTGACTGTCGGATTTTTGAACTGTCTGTCTGATGTACTGAGCTGGCGAGCCCACCACACACGTCCTCCTGGGCAGGCCTCTGCACCCCTTTGATCTATGTTTCCCAGTGCACTGAGGGGGTCCACAGTCTGGTTACTAGAGAGCTCTTTCTTTGCAACCTACACCTTCTCTGTATCCAGTGTGGTGTTCTCTGTATTAAGAATGGCACGATTCAATGGCCAATATTTGATAAAGTTATATATATATTTTATATATTTTAATTTGGGGAAATGACAAAGCCTAGCTGTTGCAGGTCCATCAACTAATAACACACACACACACACACACACACACACACACACACAGATAGAGAGAGAGAGTCTGGAAGCATCCATTGTAGCATCAGCTATCACTTCCTAACGAATGACAGCATCTTTCTGTACAACAGTCAGAGCTCAGACAGAAGGCAGCTTTGAAACAACAAAAGCCAAAAGGCAGCAACAGAGGAGAGATGTGTCATGATGGGAGAAAGTGAGTGAGGACTTGCACTCAAGTGCCCGTGCCTGCCAGGTACCCCATCAGGCCTCTGCGACATCGGGCCTTTATCACCTCCTGGATGGCTCTGCATTTGCATCAGCCGAGAACACCCAGACTGCCGGTTCCCTACTGCCAAGGCAAGGGCTGTGATTGGAGAGGCATTTTCCATCCTCCCAAATACTTTATGTCAGGAATAAAATGAAAACAGCTCCCCAAATCATGGCTGCCTTGATCATCCATCAGCACATTCTGCTGAATAAGCACAATAGGCCTTGGCTGCCCTGGAAAGGACAGAAGCCAGCTTGAGATTCTGATTCCATCATGAAAAATAGGTCTTCCCTGAGTGTGCTCAGCACAGCAGCAGCAACACATGGAAAGGAAATCTCTCGCCACTTAGAAGCTGACTGGTGTACACATACCTCCCAGAACATGCATATGTATAACATAGACACAGAAGCGGGTATACACACCTGCATGGAAACAAACATATGTCTGAACACATAGTGAACAGGTGAGAACCAGCCTTTTTAATGCCAATTTATTAATTCAGAAAGGTGCTCATGTAGCCTTTTTCTTTCTACAAGAAAAGTACCACTGCATATTTCTGAAAATAACAGACAGAAGGGCACTGCCTGCCATTCAATGTAGGCATCCAGTTCTAGATGAAATCAAGAACACAGAAGAATCATCCTGAGCACTCGAAGAATCATGGCATAAATTGAACACTTAACTGGAAGCCCAGACCCCCTAGGGGTTCTAGTCCCAATTCCATGGAGCCTCAGGAAATTCTACCTTCTCCCAGCTCCCTCCTCCGTGAAATAGGAGCACAGACTAGGTGATTTCTAAGTCCTCTTTGGTTAGGAAATCATGTGACTACACGAAGAACCCAGATACCATAATTTATAAGAGTACTTTTGTCTCTCTTCACAAATAATCAATGGGTTTTTTTTAACTTTTGTTTTAGGTTTGGGGGCAAAAATGCAGGTTGGTTATATAGGTAAACTTGTGTCACGGGGATTTGTCGTACAGATTATTTCATCACCCAAGTACCAAGCCTAGTACCCAATAGTTATTTTTTCTGCTCCTCTCCCTCCTCCCAACCTTCACCCTCAAGTGAAGGTTGATCACTCTTCCCTAGCATCCCTTTGGCAGTAAAAAAGTAAGGCCCTCTCTGAAATACTAGAAGAATCCCATCCACCCCAGAAGTAGGCCCCCATGTCTGTTGTTCTCTTATTTGTGTTCATGAGTTCTCATCATTTAACTCCCACTTATAAGTGAGAACATGTAGCATTTGGTTTTCTGTTCCTGTGTTAGTTTGGTAAGGATAATGGCCTCCAGTTCTACCCATGTTCCTGCAAAAGACATGATCTCATTCTTTTTTGTCACTGCATAGTATTCCATGGTGTATATGTATCACATATTCTTTATCCAGACTGTCACTGATGGGCATTTAGGTTGATTCCCTGTCTTTGCTATTGTGAATAGTCCTGTTCTGAATATCCGTGAGTATGTGTCTTTATGATAGAACAATTTATATTCCTTTGAGTATATACCCAGGAATGGGATTGCTAGGTCAAATGGTAGTTCTGTTTTTAGCTCTTTGAGGAATTGCCATACTGCTTTCTACAATGGTTGAACTAATTTACACTCCTAACAGGCTTTCTAACGCTTAATACAGTTAGCAAGGATATTGGAGTCAATCATACAAACATGAACTAATTCTAGAATTGATTAGAAACTAATTGGGAACTCTGAAGAGCATTTCTGCTGATGTTGCTAATAACTCAGAAATAGCTAATGCTGGATTTTAAGGCATCAGTCTCAGACGCTTTCAGAAGCAATGAAGGATTTTGATTCCACACCCCCCCCAATCTCTATTCAACAGAATAGTCCTGGTCTTTCTCGTTTTCTTCATTTAGACCTCAGGAAGTTTTGCTTGAACAAAGAGATCCACAGAGTAAATATTTAGCCCACTGCTCCAGGAGTAAGAAAGCAAAGAGAGAAGAGCGTGGGCCCAGTGGTCAGATGCAAGGTAAACCTCAAGCTCCACAATTACTAGCCAGGTGACCTGTGGCAGCCCAGTTAACTTCTCCAGGCCTGAGTTCCCTCATCCATAAAGTGAGCCAATGACCCCTTCCTTCTACTATAGAGGGTGATGTGAATACTTGCAGATCTGTGCACCAAGAACCTTAGAGTAATGGGGGGCATGCATTAAGTGCCCCATTCAGATATGGTAGGTGCCACATTTATTACCCCTTCAGATTCTGAGTGACAAGGTAGAGCTTCCCACATCAGGGGCAATGAGCACAGGAGAAATACTAATCTACTCTGCACACAAGTATATACATGTATACAGATGTATCTAAGAAGGTGAGACATGTGGGCAGGTTATTTATAATAACCCAGGATATCATAGAATGCATTTGTTGTACTCTTGCTGGGTTTTGTCATGTTGGCCATCTCTGGACTGTTTTCCCCAAAAACAAATAAAAAGAAGGCCAAGAAATATTTCATTAGGAAAAATTACAAAAGCTGGAATAACTAAAGGCAATCGTGTGCAATATATCAAACGTGTGCCTCGATAGGGAGAACTGTTAACAGTTTAATAGCTAAGAAATGAATCACTCAATTAATTTCCCACATGCTGAAAGAGGTAACAATACATTTATCTGCCAGTATTATAACCTCCATATCATATATTTCCACAACTGCTAGCAATTTTATTCAGCGTAATGGGAAATAAGTTGTACCTCATGGATTCCGGGAAAATAAGCGGCCTGAGGTCTGCTGCCAGCAGAGCAACTTGATGGAAGATGTTTCATTGTTCTGTTTTGTTTTTGTTTTTTCTTCCCCCTCCCCATCACCCTTAATCACTTCCAATGCATGTGCAGAGTGCTGTAAGTCAATAGTTGAGGATAAACTAAACCTCTAGGATATGAGTACCAGCGTTTTCAACACACAAGCTGCAATCTCATGGGAGGTGACTGCACAGTTCCACAGAGCCTCAAGGCGATGAAGGTTCTCCAAGGAGGTCATCAGGGGTCATCGAGTCCATTCCCCAACCTATGGCTTCACTGAAGGACTCCCAACTCCTCCCAAAGACACAGTCATCCTTGTCCTTAAAAAATCTCCTTGTGTCTGAATCCAGACCCCAAGCCAAATCTCCACTGCCTCATCAGAGCTGCTATTAGGATGACACCAAATTCACTTACAGGCTCAGCTGGTAAAGGAAAGGTCAGTAAACACCATTCTAATCAGCTCTGGAGAGATACATGTGGAGGGCATATGCCAGCCTAGGGACACATTGTCAGAAAACATCACCTTCCACACTAAAGCTATCTCAGAGAGCTGTGGAGCCCTTGCCTGTGATGGAGGAAAATCACTCTTCCCTAGCATCCCTTTGGCAGTAAAAAAGTAAGGTCCCCTCTGAAATACTAGAAGAATCCCACCTACCCCAGAAGCCCACCCATGCCCACTGCTTTCCTCTTTCTTCTTTCTCAGCTGCAAACCTACAGAGGCCCCACTTAGGGAATATCTCCAAGAAGGAGACCCACAATCCCCCGCAGAACTGCACCATTGGGCTATGCATAATGCTGCTTTATTGGTAAAACAGGAAGATCCGGTCGGAACTTAATCCTATTTCATGTTTGGCCAACGATGTATCCATGGATGGCCCCTTCATGTGAGATCTCAACTGCATTCTAAACATTCAGAGGACATTCATTCTCCATGCCCTGGAGCGTAAGCACTGCCATGAGATTTAAGTCCCTTGTGAAGAACAGGGAGTAGGCAGCTCACCTTGGGCTTCACCACCTTCATGAAGGCTCCTCTGACCAATGCCTCCTCTCGTTCTTGTCTGGTTACTTTCCGGGCATCCAGAAATTTCAAGTTGGGCAGCTTGTACAGAACAAAGCATCTGGAAGACAAGAGTCAGAGACAACTCAGGAAGGTTTGAATGGTAGCCTGAGAGACCCAGACAGCTTGTCTGATCTTCAAGAATCCACACCATCTGATCTTCCGGAGCTTAGACCTTGGCAGCTTCTCCTCTCTTCTTTCACAAAGAATGAACAATTGCTCCTTGGAGAAATCAGAATGCTTCTGCCTTATACAGATGTACAACTATACATTAGAAGCACATACTAAGGGTACACTTGGCTTAAAGGTAAACACACATACATGTGGGTTAGCCAGTAGCACCCTATCAATGTATTCCCTTCTTTCTAGTCTGAAAAACACACTCAGCTATGCTATATGGAAGTTCTAAGTAAAATCAACCTATAAATTGATTGTGCCCTTTACATCACTGTCATTCCTATGGGTCATCTGTATCACAGACAGTAATGGCCTGGATGACTGTGGGTTAGAAGCGAAAAACACATGTAGCTGAGAAATGCTTCCTTGAGGAATCAGGCAGGGGTCTTAAGAGCTTTTTTCTCATCATCCCTTGATAATGAGATGATGTGGTTATTTCCACACTTGCTAATCTACGAAGATTATCAAGGAGAAATAGGGGGAGTTAATTTCTAGGAGATATTAATGGCCCAACAAATGCTAGGTGCTCTCCATTTCCCTGGAGAAACTTCTTGGCATACATATGGAGTTCAGAAATAAGCCAACGGCTGCTAGTGTAATTAACTGTCCTCAAATAGGTGTATATGGAGTTGACAAGGATAACCACTTGGCCAGAACATAGTTACATAAATGTACAAATAAATATGTTACAGGTATGGACATGTGTCTACACTTCTCCCTTGTCAAGGACAGTCACTAACCAAGACGCTTTCTGTCAAGTTCCACAGCCCACCAATTAAACAAGCTAATTGTTTCCACCCCATTCTGCTTAGCAAGAAGTGGTGAGTACCCAGTGTCAAGAGTAATGGATTATCTCCAAGGGAATCTGTCACTTCCTCCCCACACCCAGCCTCCAAGCCTCATCTCCTATGAAGGTTTTTTGTACACCTCCAGCCCACATTGCTTTCTCCCTTTTCAGGACTCCTGGAATATGCTATCGGCACCTTACAGTCTAACATTTTGATGTTTTCTAATTGTTTTCTTGGTGTTCATTAATGTCCTTACCTAAACTGTAAGCTTCTTGAAGGCAGGGGCTAATTCCTTTGCTCTCTCTCACCACATCTTGAAAACTGGCATTAGAATGGAGTCAATAACATACCAGTTTATTTCAGTGACACAAATATTTATTGATGTATGTGCCAGGGCTTAGGGATACAGAGGTGATTACAACATGCTTCCTGCTCTCAAAAGTGTTCTTAATGTAACAGCAATTATACACTCACATGGAGAAATTAGGAACCAGCATAGCTAAGTGCCAAAATTGAGGTTTTCCATAGAGTGGTTACGGAAGCACAGAGAAAGGGGTCTACTGACAGAAAACTCAGTGGAAAAGGAGAAACAGGAAATCTCAAGTAGGTAGCAAGGAACCACACCCCAAAGCAATCCCAAGCACCTAGCTGTTCCTCAATGAGGATATTACTTTGAACAGTGTGCCTCCCACCTTACTGAAGCCTTGAGTTCCCAAGACCATCTTCCACATTCGTAAGGTGGTTTCATTACTGGTGGCAGTAGCAGCCCGTCTGGAGCAATTGCTACAAATACACCAGCTTCAGTAGGGGCTGCTTGCTCGGAGCTGGAAGGAGCCAGGAACAGGCGGGAGCCCCATGCCCTCCTGAGTTGGTGGTGCAAGAGCCCCTGCTCCAGGGGCAACTGCAGCCACCTAGCTGCAGACCCAGGCATCCCTGTGCTCTGGGGCTTGGGAAGCCCCCTCCCCTGGCAGGCTTGGAAGTGCCTGCTCCTGCTGCCTGGCCTCTCCCCATTCCCAACACCCACTCCAATTTCAGAGCAAAGTTGTGGCCAAGCCCAGGCACTGTCACCATCTGACTGGGTGTGTACATACCCAGGGCAGTACTGAAATGCCAGCCACCTGTCACCTCAGCCCCCTCTGGACTTTGGGTGCTGACAAGCACAGAAGGAAGGCCAAGGGGCAGCTGAGGACAGCTCTGCATGGGCCTGCAGGCATCCCTTGGCTTGGCACAAACAGCCTGGGCACCATAGGCACTGTGGACAGCAGGTTGATGGCTGGCAGCAGGAGTCAGATGGGCTCCTGGGTGGAAAGGGGTGTGTCCCCAGTGAAGCCCCACCATCAGGCCAGGGATGGCCTAAAGCACAGGGCCTGGGCTGCCTGTTTCACAAACTGGACTAAAAACTTATGGTACTTTTTCTGGGCCTGTCCATGGCCACCCTTGGACCAGTCAGCATACACTTTCATTCCTCTGAAGCCCATAAAAACCCCAAATTTAGCCAGACTTGGGCATATGATGGAACAACCTGCCTGTGGAGAGGAGCTACCCACTCTGGGTCTCCTCTCTGCTGAGGGCTGCACAGACACTGAGATGACCTGCCTGCCGAAAGGAGCTACCCACTTCAGTTGTCCTGAGAGCTGTACTGCTGCTCTATAAAGCACCTCTTTGCCTTGCTCACCCTCCAGTTGTGTGCGTCCTTCATTATTCCTGGATCTGGGACAAGAACTTGGGACCCACCAAATGGCAGGACTGGAAGAGCTGTAACACAAACAGGGATGAAACACATCCCCCTGCTCGCCACATTGCAGGCAATGAGGAGAGAAGAGTTACGGCCCTTTGGGAAGCCCAGACCTAACAGCTCCCCAAGCCAGGGCTGTGACACCCTCTCTGGGGCTTTGTGATTCCTGGCATCTCCAAGCTTCCAGGTGCTGCTCTGCTCCCCAGCACCTGCAGTGGAAGCCACCTGTGGTATGCCTGGTCCAGACGCAGCCTCACAGGGAGCCAGTGCCTATGCCGGTACCTAGAGTTGTCCAGCCGCCACTGCCGACAGGCCTGGCTGTGTGCAGTGGGCAGACCCCGTGCTTGCTCCCTAATGTACCCCTCACTGCCCCACACCTGGCTAACCCTTGGTAGGCATGGGATCTGGACCGGTAGCATGAGTCACGTGCAGCCTGCCAGGCTGAGTAGGTGGAACAAGCCCAGCGGGCCCCAGCAAAACTCAGGCAAAGGCACCACTAGCCACAGAGTTTTCAAGCTGAATGCTTGAAATGCCGGCCACCAAGTGGCCTACATATGCTTATCCAGGTAAAAAGCTTAGCTGACCACCCGAAAGACAGAAAAAATAGTTTAGAGGTCTGCAGGAATAACCTTCATAGGACTCATTGTTAAAGTCAAAATACTATGAAATTCTTTTCCTCCTTCAGAAATGTCTACCCCATGCCTGATGTTCTGAAATTTGACTCTAGCTACTTCCTGCTTCCTCCCTGGCCTCAATCTATTGCTCTTTCCTGGCCTAGGTTCTCCCTTCCTCTCCAAATACCAGCTAACCTCACCCAAAATCAAGAAAGTGCCACAAACGAATAAATATCTTTTCTTTTCTTTCTTTTTTTTCTTTGAGATGGAGTCTTGCTCTGTTGCCCAGGCTGTAGAGAAGTGGCATGATCTCTACTTACTGCAACCACTGCCTCCCAGGTTCAAGAAATTCCCGTCTCAGCCTCCTGAGTTGCTGGAACTATATGTGTGCACCACCACATCCAGCTAATTTTTGTATTTTTAGTAGCAACAGGGTTTCACCATGTTGGCCAGGCTGGTCTCAAACTCCTGACCTCAAGTGATCTGCCCACTGGGATTACAGAGGTGAGCCACCACCAAATATCTTTTCTATCCTCCAGTAGAGCTCCCACCGGCCTCAGTCAATGTCAGAAAAAACTTCCGACTTCTGCTTGTAGCAGAAAAGTCTTGATGACAACAGACTCTTTCAAATAAAGACATGTACAGACAGAAACAATATGTCAGGAGTGACGCGCAGGGAGTAAAGACACCCACTAAGTGTAGGGTGGGAAAAGATGAATATTCAGGTGAAGAAAACATCGGTATTAGAAAATCAGCCAATGTTTAACGATGGAGTGAAAGATGCCTTCACGGGGCTGGCAGGAACCTCGATGACAACAGACCGCACATTGTCATTTTGCCTCACTTTGGATCACAGCCCTGAAATCAAAGGAGAAAGAGAGAAAGAGAGAGGTGCTGGCTTTTAAGCTAGTTAAAAATTTTAGATGACAAAGAGCTGCTGTTTTCAGATCACTCTTCTTATACAATCAAAGAGACAGCCTATGACACAGGCTGCCAGTCACCCCCTGAAATGAGGAATGACTTGACACCCATCCCAAGGGCCAGCCTGGGTTTCCAAGTGGTTGCTGCTTGGAGAGGTTTGAGGGACAATAGGAGGGCTTGTTCCAAAGAGTTCCATCTGAGATTCAGCCCAGGGTCCAAAGTTCCTCCCATAGAGATGTCTTCTTTCATTTACTGACATATACATTCACTCATTCAACGAATAATTATGGAACAGCTACCACCTGTCAGGACCTGGGTCAGGTGCCAAGATGAGATGAGCAGTCCGGAAGGTCTGTGCTCTCAGTGAGCTTCCATTCTTGCACAGTTGTTCTCAAACTTCAGTGGACATCAGTGTCTCCTGGAGACTTCCCAACACAGAGATGGCAGGGCCCCATCCCCAGAGTTTCTGATATGTCTAATATGTCTTTACATTTCTAATATGTCCCCAAGTGATGCTGCTGCTGCTGGTCCTGCTGAGAGCCAATGTCCCCATGAGAAATAACACCATGAAGAATAATAGCTTTGAAATAAGGAGGGTGGTGAGGCAGCAAAAATCTCCTTCCAGTTCCGCTAAGGGCTGCCCTGCCCCAATGCTTGCAGTACACAAAGCCCAGCCAGTGGCCACCTCTGCCAGATCTTCCTGCCCCTTGGTGACTTGGAGATGTGGCTCCAAACATTATTGCCAAGTGATAAGTCAGTGGGCTTCCTGCCTGCCTGTCCCTTCGTGGTCCTGGGAGATCTATTTGCCTTTGTTCTAGGTCATGTC